CAGAGACATGAAGTGAGCTCATTCTGTTGGAAAAAAAATGGCGCCCATAGATCTGCTCAACCCAGGGTTGCCAGAAATCCTAAATTTGTTAAAAAAACACAGTATCTATGACATGCAATAAAGCCAAGTGCAATAAAATAAGGTATGCCTGTATTTTAAATTTCTTTTGGTTGTGGAATTGTGTTTCTTTGACTGCAACACAAGACTGGGCCGAGAAGAGCTCTTGATTTATGCAGGATATAGTAGAATAAACTTTATAGCAGGTACTCTTAACATGGGACTCATGGGAGGACTAAATCCTCATAATTGTATGCAATTTTTGTGGCCATGTGTACATATATATTTTGAAATGATGAGAACCTTCATGCTCATAGTCTTTATCAGATTCTTTTTTTTTAAAGATTTATTTATTTGAGAGAGAGTGTGTGAGATCGGGGGGGGGGAGGGGCAGAGAGAATCTCAAGCAGACTCCTGGCTGAGTGTGGAGCCCAACTTGGGGCTCCATCTCACGACCCTGAGATCATGACCTGAGCAGAAATCAAGAGTCCAATGCTTAACTATCTGCACCACCCAGGCACCCCTGCTTTTATTTAGATTCTTAAAGAGTTCATGATTCGTCTTAAAAATATGAACAGACTGCCACTGGGGAGAGAGGAGGCATTCTCTCAGGGCAAAAGACCAAGTTAAAAAAAAAATGTAACTACAGAAGATACCTGATTTCTAATTGTACTGCAAAAGCTTAAGAGGTTAGTCTGGATCCATTTATTTTGCCAGAGATACCAACATCTTCCTTCCCTCCCCTTAAATTCCTCTCCTGATTTCCTTGGTATTTGAAAATACATTCAGTGGTTTTTTTCTTTGTTGGTTTGTTTTTGTTTTAAAGACAGTACTCCATGAGTGTGCTAAATAAATCAGGGGAAAGAACGACTGGCATTTTCGGGGACTCAAGAAAGGTGGGGGAAAATCAGAGTTCAACTCACAAGCAAATCACAGACATTTACGATAGTTGGAGCAAGGCATTGCAAGAAGCCCTGAAACAAGGGAAAAAAGCACAGTACACAGCAGTGAGAGTATTAGGGTCATTGGACTGCTCACCTGTCCCGTCGAGGTACACAGGAAGGCATTTGCAGCAATTACTCTCCTACTGAAGGCATTAATGCATCATGCTGGTCTCAGAAGCCTTCATGCAACGCATCACAGCTTAGACATCCAGTTCTATGAGCTGGATAAACATTTAAATTCTGGAGGGCAAAGAGTGCCAAAGGGAGGACTGAGAACCCTGAAAACCTGCCATTGCTTTGCTAAGTTTGTTCAAACCACCTCCTCAGGTGCTTTATGCAAACCCGAATGGGAGGCACAGAGCAGCTCCCAAGTCTTTGACACACGCCTTCCTCCTTTGTCCGCTTCTTTCTTCCCAGCAGAGCAGCGCCCACAAGAATGCACCGTGATCTTACTCAAGACCAAAAATTCAGCCCAGTGTCTTTGAAGAAGGCCGTCAGCAAATCTTAGTCCCTGGGGTTCGGGGACCTGGGTCCCAGGCATGCCGCAGGCATTTGTTAAATGCTTATTGAGTCAATGAGTAGCTAAATGAGTAATGAACAGATATGGTGCACCCTTTCCTGTCACTGTGGGTCTGTAACTTTAGAGGCAGCCCAGGACGTGGGAGAGTAGTAGTGGGGAAACTAGAATGCCCCCCCCAATATGCCCTTACCCCTTTCCCATAGCAGCCACTTCCTTAGAGGGGCTGGAGCCTGGAAGGGGGTTGCTCTCCCTGGAGCTTTGATGAGGACAGCAGGAGGTACTGCCTCATAAAGGCATCTACCAAGGAAGTCTGGAGGGAAAAGGGTGTGGTAGGCAGAAATCGCACTCCCCCCAACCCTGTCCAAAGATGCCCACATCCCAATCCCCAGCACCTGCGAATGTGATGTCGCATGCCGAGGGAGAATGAAGGTTGCAGCTGGAATAAACGTCGCTGATCACTTGAGCCCAAGATGGGGAGATTTTCCTGGAACATCCAGGCAGGCCCAAAGTAATCACAAGGTCCTCAAAGGAAGAGTAGGGGCAGACACAACAACCAGAGGGACGCACAATGAGGATGTGACTAACTGTTGCTGACTCTGAAGGTGGAGGAAGGGCCCAGAGCCAAGGAATGTGGGCAACTTCTAACAATTGTAAAAGGCAAGAAAATGGTTCCTCTCCTAGAGACTACAGAAAGAAATACAGCCTGCCCACACTTCGATGTTAGTCCATGAAACCCGTCCTGGACTGCTGATCTCCAGAGCTGTAAGATAGTAAATTTATGTTGTTTTACGCTCCTAAGCCGGTGGTGGCTTGTTGTAGCAGTCTCATGACACAGCGGGTCAGTGACAGGCAGGGAAGGACAGGCAAGTGGGAAGACCGGTTTTGTCCTTATGAGCCAAGGGATCTTCGGGAATTTCTTTCATGGCTTTGAGGCTTTGGTTCTCTCATCGCTAGAGGGGGTTAAAACTAGCAACCTCATCAGACTACTTTCAATGTTAAATGAGATCACATATTTGAATGGCCCAGCTCCTGGCTTGCACACTATGGGTGCTCATGATTCCTGATCCCCACCCCCTTCTCCTCTACCCTTGACAGGGCAGGGATCGCAAAAGAAGAGAAAAAAGGGAAAAAAATCAAATGAATGGAGACAAAGGGGTCTAGGATGGGGAATCCACACCACCCATTACTGCCTGGGGTGCGGGACGCCAGTTCTGTGGTCTCCCGAGGATTTCATGAAATGAGGGTTTGAAGGGCTCTACCATTTGTCAGAAAGAGGGGGGAGTGTGAAGAATAGGAGACATTTGGGGTGGAACAGGAGAGGGGGAGGAGGAAAAGAAAAGGAACATAGGGTGGGACCTAGACTAGAAGACATGGGTAGGATTTCCCCAGCATGGGGACTGCACCTCTGCTCAGAAATGAATGGAAGTTCAAAACCAATGGGTGGTTCCTCTTTCTTTTCTGTTCCTCTTTCTTTTCTGTTCCTGTTCCTACACAATCCTTCCCTTCAGTCTATGCACATAGTAGACCATATTCATACACGTGCATCAGTGAGCTTATTGAAGGTAGAGCATGTGTTCCGGGATGACAAGGGAAGAGGGGTGCACACATTTATTTATGTCAAATTTCAAAGGTTACAATGGACCTTTGAAAAGCACTGGCAAAATGTTCTCTTGGGAATAATAACCAAAAACTAGTTAAATCCTATTATGTCTCTGGATCTGTCATTTCTTATTCCTTTTTCTGAGGTGATATGGGAGATTATCTATCTATATATCTATCTATCCATCCATCTATCCATCTATCATCTATCTATCTACCTATCATCTATGTATCATCACCGTCATCTATCTCACGATGTAGGCAAGATCTCTGCCATAAATGATGATGTTATGTTCTGTAGGGTGATGCTCAAGGTACTGTGAGAAGGTTATGGATGCTGGAAAATGCAAACTTCTAAGTTTTAATGAAACAACTTACTCCCTTTTAGGCTTTGCAGCCAATGTAGATTTTGTGACAACAGAGCTGTAAATGCACTGGGTTAATTTCAAAAGAGAACATCCAAATTGTAATAAAAATCATGGCTAGGGTTTGGATGTACTTTGTATTCAAATATTTTTTATTAAATTTTGTGATATTGCACAAACTTTGAATAGGTCATTTTGTGGTTGGGGCAAATCTATTTCTATTAACACATTTTAAGTTTGAAGAAATAAGTTGATTTTAACCCATCTTTCCAGCTTATTAAATTTTTTTGCGGAAGTCACAAGAAGAAACTCACAAACTATTGTTCCTTTTAAAGGAATATTTATAAATTGCAAAAGGACTTGCCGTGTAATACATCTAGCTTCAAATTACAGTAACAAGATGATTTCCCTGTCTTCTTTTTCAAACCAACCTAAAATTGAGTTAGTAGCACATAAAGACATTAGCTATTGAGATTTTTTTCAATGCTTTTAAAAGGAAAAAGTAAAGTCTTCTAAAGTGACCATGATACGTTTAAGTAAATATTTTCCCCAAAGTTCCCTGTATAATTGAACTTGAGAAGACACGGGTAAACACACAGACATGCTGCAGTATTTTAGAAAGTAATTTACCATTTCCTCTGATTTTTGGAAAGCCCTGCATGTAAAATATACAAAATCTGCTGCAATTTCTCACAATACCATTTTTTCCCAAAGGTTTCCCAAGTTGGGTAACCAGCAGCGCTAATAAATCGGTTAGTCCACAGGCTCGGAGATCTTGGGGGAAAATAGTCACTGCTGCTTTTGTCTTCTGCCCTTTGCTGCAACTGTCCCCAAACGGCTTTACAACTGAGTTTACAGATCAAAAGACTTCTTCTACAAATACTCGCAAACTTCTGTTGGAATATGCAGAGATTTTCGGAAAAGTCAACATTTACTTAGTGCAAGGAGCCTGAAGTCTGAGCTAGCCGAGCGATCAGCAGGTTTATCTAACCCAGAAAAACAACTCAAGTAGCTGAATTATACAGGTATTCACCTTTGTCCCCCAAGGAGCTTTGCTGGCGGCAGTCAAAACCAAAGTGGGAACTTAATAAAAATGAAAATTGTGGTAGCAAAATACACTTACAAGGTTAATTTGACATATTGCAAAAAATTGGGGAGGTTAAAGTGGTTTCTATATAACCACAGTCCTGATTTAGAAAAACCCCAGAGAAACAGCTGTATTATGATATATAACCGGCCTTGCCTGCATAGGAAACCCCAGCTTTTGGGTGTGTAAGTCTCGAGATGCTAGATTTGGGGGAAAATTGTACGCAGCTCTCATCGAGAAATAACGGGCTAGTAAGACCTGTCGAAGTTTACGGTTACACATGAGGCAAACAAATATTTGCTCCAGAGCTCACATCGTTCGTTTCTTGAACTACAGAGTGGAAGAGATGAGAAAAAGGAGTCTGTTCTGCTGACTCAGTCAATTCTGATGAAGAAAATTAGGTCCTCACCCGCGGATTCTCTGCTTACCTGAGAATGTCTCCATTTCCGGCATTTGGTCGCAACTGGTCGAGGCAGGCCTGGCAAGATGCCTTCCAGATTCTGGAAGATTAGCTCCTGCACATCCTCGGTGCTGTACTCCAAGTGGGTGACTCCAAACGGGACAGTGGTGTGAACCACAAGGGAAGGCCCGATTTCGGATGACTCTAGTGTTAAGAGGAACACAAGGACACATCGTGAAGCAGGCTAGAGTGAAGTATCTGTCAACATTTCAAGCCAGGTTTAAGAATGAATCACAATCGGGGCGCCCGGGTGGCTCAGTCGTTAAGCGTCTGCCTTCGGCTCAGGTCATGATCCCGGGGTCCTGGGATCGAGCCCCACATCGGGCTCCCTGCTCCGCGGGAAGCCTGCTTCTCCCTCTCCCTCTGCCTGCCACTCTGCCTACTTGTGCTGTCTCTCTATCTCTCTGTCAAATAAATAAATAAAATCTTTAAAAATAAATAAATAAATAAATAAAAATAATAAAATTATCCCAGGGGTGCCCGGGTGGCTCAGTCGTTAAGCGTCTGCCTTCAGCTCAGGTCATGATCCCAGGGTCCTGGGATCGAGCCCCACATCGGGCTCCCTGCTCAGCGGGGAGCCTGCTTCTCCCTCTCCCACTCCCCCTGCTTGTGTTCCCTCTCTTGCTGTGTCTCTCTCTGTCAAAAAAGTAAATAAGATCTTTAAAAAAAAAAAAAAAAGAATGAATCACAACAACCAGACAATAAATAGAGGGAAAACGGACTCTAATCTTGGACCATCAAATTAGGCTAACTCTGAAATTCAAAATCAAGCTTCTCTGGAGAGGAGGACAGAGTCACGATGTATTTTAGAGAACAAATCTTTAGATCTTGCTGAAGAACCAGAAAGAAGGAGAAGAAGAACATCCAGTAATTTCTGCCTTGGGTAAAATCCAATTGATTGGTGTGTTCATCTTCTCCCATCCACTAAATTATAAGTTCTCCAGGGCAGGAGCTGTTCCTTATATATAGCTTATACTCTCCTTAAATTCTGAGAACAAAGTAGATGTTCAGTAAACACTTACTCATTTTCTGTTAAACAAATTGCAAAATATTTTGTTGAAATTATATTAATGCCAGAATAAAATATCTTTACCATGTTAAAAAAAAATCAAGCTTCTCTCTAAAAATGGGTTTGACTTCATATTCTTTATCTTTGAAGCAACATTAAGAGTAAAACCTCCTTCATTCATCACATGGAACTACTTTCCATTTTTGTTTGCCATTGAGGTTTTTTGTTTTTGTTTTTTTTGCTATATTTTCACAATTTCAAATAATGCACATCGGCTTTGTACCTTTCACTCTTTCGTGGAATACGGAAAATCAGATGATGTTTTAAGTTGAAAGCAAAGTGACCGAGGCATTACAAAACACAGTGTTGGCAGGAATGTTAAGAGTTTGCCTGTTATTACAATTTCAAATCATGTAGAAGGGAAAGTTGAGGGGAAACAATCGTAGATCTAAAACGCATGAAATAGGGGCACCTGGGTGACTCAGTCGGTTAAGTGTCTGCCTTCGGCTCAGGTCATGATCCCAGGGTCCTGAGATCGAGCCCCTCATCGGGCTCCCTGCTCAGCGGGGAGTCGGCTTCTCCCTCTACCCCTCCCCCCTGCTCATGATCTCTCTAATAAATAAATAAATAAAATCTTAAAAAAAAATAAAATGCATGACATAATAAGACAGTTGGTGCTTTCCCCCACCTTATTGAAAGAAGAGAATATTGAAGTATACAAAGTCTTGACAGGGATTGGCAAACCTGATTCTGGAAATTCTAATTTCGCACTGTCAAGGGTAAGACAATGATCTATTTGGGGCAGGTTTGTTTGAACAGTTTTACACACTAAAAAAACCCCATGGCACAACGCTAAGCCATTTACTTGCTATATGCCCACCTGCCCTCTTTCCATTTTGGGGTTTTTGTTTTGTTTCGTTTTCTGTAACATCAGAATCTTAGTACCTATCCCACAGGTCTGCGGTGGGGATTATAGAAACTAACGCCCGTGAAGAGCTTGGCACAATTTCTGGCATCGAGCAGGGGCTGCATCAATGTGAGCTATGAGAACAGAAGCAATACACCGGATATAGACAAAAGAAAAGGTCCGTGGTGTTGCCCACATGACAGGTGTAAGGTTTTTTTGTTTTTTTTTTTAAGTACTTCATTTTTACCCCACCGCTCTCTGCCCAGAGAATCCTGGATTGTGAATTTTACAGCAAAACGCAAGGGAAGGGGGAGTCCCAAAATGCTGTGAGCATTTCAAAGTCAAGTGAGTGCTTCCAAATATTTTCATATGCACGAGGTGGGAGAGCTGACTTCGGAATCTGTGCAGTAAATACAGTGTAAGGAGATGGTCCTCTGTTTCCACGCCACAGGAGCTTGAAAGAGGACACAGAGGGGCCCCCTCTGAACATTCAGTGTTTAACCCCCCAGGGGAGGACCCCAGAGTTCAAACCCTCAAATCTTGTCACCCATGGAGCACCTGGTTGGCTCAATCCATAGAGCGTGTGACTCTCAACCTCGGGGGCTGTAAGTTCGAACCCCACATCGGGTGTAGAGATTACTTCAAAATAAAATCTTAGAAAAAAGAAAAAAATCTGTTGCCCACCTTGCCCCAGGGAGGGTTCTTTCGGTTCCCAGGTAATAGATTAAGGGAGGCTTGCTCCCAACAAGGGGGTTTCAACCCCACCCCACTTCTGTTAGGTACCAAATCTTCCCAAAGACAGAGAAAGCTACTGGGTCGAACTTCTGAAGCAGAGTTGGGTTCTGAGCTGGCTTATCGATGGCAGGCTTCCAAGGAAAGTGAATGCTCGCCACATGCTGAGAATCTGAAGGTTGCACTGACCCAGCCATTTGCTTGGCGGGGCGGAGGGGGGCGGTCGTAACATTACTGAGGGCAGTGATGGTGCCTCACCAGCTCTCTCCCATTTACGTTAGCCATCCACTCCAAGAAGAACAGTAAAAAAAGGAAATTTAAGACCCAAAATGAAACCGTTCTTGCATGACAATGAGAGAACAACCTGGCTGCTTGTTTTTATTGGAATCAGACAAAAATTTTCAACAGCCCTCACCATAGCACAGATCTGTACCTCTGAAACAAATAATGCAATATATGTTAAGAAAAAAAAAAAAAAAGAAGAAGATAGCAGGAGGGGAAGAATGAAGGGGGGGAAATTGGAGGGGCAGACGAACCATGAGAGACTATGGACTCTGAGAAATAAACTGAGGGTTCTAGAGGGGAGGGGGTTGGGGGGAGGGGTTAGCCTGGTGATGGGTATTAAAGAGGGCACGTTCTGCATGGAGCACTGGGTGTTATGCACAAACAATGAATCATGGAACACTACATCAAAAACTAATGATGTAATGTATGGTGATTAATATAACAATAAAGAATTTAAAAAAATTTTTCCAGAATTTAGATTAAAATTTGAATCGCTGCAACCCGAAACCATGAGTTTTAAGGGAAAGCTCCCTTCCCCCCTTCCCCCAAATTAAAGGGTATTTTTAGAAGCTAACGTCCAAAAATACAAACAGCCAACCAGACTTTAAACGTGACTCAGGTTTGGAAATAGAGCACGGTAAAGAGCCACAAATATGTTAACGGGATTCAGAGCGTCGAGTCAGTATAATCAGCATTCTTTGGTCACTGGGAAGGTAGTAATAATGTTATCTTTCTTCTTCTCTTCTTTATTCAGTGTAACAAGTCCAGCACTTTGCTTTTGGCATATCAAATTAAGTTCACGGTAAGTCAACAACTATTTCTGTACACTGGGAGATCAGGGGCTTTAGTCGGAAGGTAAGTACTTAGACCTGGGCATCCTAACAGCCCAGTGGTCCTGGACAACTTAATCTCTCAGGCCTCCCCTTCATACATCAATTAAAAGGGACCAGTACTACTTCCCTTATAAGGCTGTCACAAGGATTAAATGGGTGAGGAGACATAAAAATCTTTCTTCAAACATGAAGTGCTACACAAATGTAACGCATCCCCAGATAATATTCTCCCTTTGGCCTCTATGCCATAGCAAGAGCAGCTTTGGAGAGGGATAACAGAGTTGGCTTCTCTCAAAACATTAAGATTGATTATTATATCAACACCCCAGGAACAGTGGCAGACTATTCCTGGATATAGGCACAGCAGTTTTTACATGTTTTTTTAATTATTGTAGTAAAACAGACATAATCTAAAATTTACCATTTTAACCTGTTTTAAGTATACAGTAGTCTCGCATTAAGTACACCCACATTGTCCTGTAACCATCATTGCCATCCATATCCAGAGCTTTTTTTTTTTTTTTTAAAGATTTTATTTATTTATTTGAGACAGAGAGAATGAGAGAGAGAGAGCACATGAGAAGGGGGAGGGTCAGAGGCAGAAGCAGGCTCCCTGCCGAGCAGGGAGCCCGATGCGGGACTCGATCCAGGGACTCCAGGATCATGACCTGAGCCAAAGGCAGTCGCTTAACCAACTGAGCCACCCAGGCGCCCCATATCCAGAGCTTTTTAAACTCTCCACATAAACTCTGTACCCATGAAATGCTGACCCCCTCCATCCCCGTTCCCCCCCAGCCCCTGTCAACCATCACTCTATTTCTCTCTCTGATTCTCACTACTTCAGGTGCCTTGTAGAAATGGAATAATATGATATTTGTCCTTTTATGACTGGCTTATTTCATTTAGCATGATGTCTTTAAGGCTCATCCATGTTGTAGCAGGTGTCCGAACCCCCTTCCTCTTTAAGACTGTGTAATACTCCAGTGTGTGGATGGACCACGTTTTGTGTATGCATTCATCTGTCCATCCATTTATGCAGGCTTCCATCTTCTGGCTCTTGTGAATAATACTGCTATGAACATGGTGCACCCATATCTATTTGAGGCCCTGCTTTCACTTCTTTTGGGTGTATGCCCAGACGTGGAATGGCTGGACCATATGGTAATGCTATGTTTAAATGTTTGAGGAATCACCGTATCAATTTCCCACAGTGACTGCACCATTTCCCTGTTCCCACCAGCAAGGTACAAAGGGTCTAATTTCTCTGCATTCTCATCAACACTTGTTATTTTATTTTATTTTATTTGTTATAATAGCCATTAGTGTACAGCTTTGAGTGGGGTCAAGGCGCTAGGAGTTGGTAACAACAGCAGGAGCC